TTTTTTTGGTGTAAACCGATGTGCTTTATTCAAATATCGAGCTTATTTCGAGTCTAGTTCATCGAAACTCTGTTCTAGATGTGTGTTTTTGACCAGAGTTGGTAAAACTGAATATTTCTCTTGACTATTACGATTCACTTATGCAATAGATCGCGCTCTACGTTGCGCTCCAACTCCTTTGTTTTACTCGCCAATTTCTTCTGTTCTGAATTTTAGTAGAAAATCAACCCATTACCGAATAGAAATATTCTAACGCCTTAAAAATCGAAGATTTGACTCAAATATAAGGCATTAGGAATTGCCTTGTGCAAATATAGTTTTCAGTATCATTAAAAAATGATTATTTAGGACTGAACAAGTCGCTTTGAGTTGAGGACAGTTGCTAACACCCATATTTGTCATCAAGATCATTTTCCAATGAAGAAAAAATAGTTTTTTTCAACTGTATGAATAATTTTTGTAACTGAAATATCGAGTTACTCTTACCGTGATTCTAATACAACAACCATAGATCGCAGTCAAAAGTTGAAAATACCAGTATGTAGACTAGAAGTGACGGGCTACATGTTGGTGTGTCTTTGAGGTCTGTGGATAGTGTGGCTTGTTCATAGCATAATAAGCAATTCTATTGCATTGGGTGTATGAATAATTTTTGGAGCCACAGTACGCTATTCTCATATTTTAAAAGAAATATTTCTAATAAATTATCACTTCTAATTGATGTAGATCCATAATTTTCACAGTAATATTAAAAAATAAAGATATTTGTCAACCATAATGGTATTGTTGCATTCATTTGTGCCTCCTCCGTACAAAATATAGTAGTAATCATTTGTTATATTTTTTCTCTACTTTCTTCTTCCTTTCGTTAAACTCTTCCAATACCTGTATTACTGCCTATCCGTATATGTCACATATCGAGAGAACACGTCGTCGATAGCATTCTCCAGCAAGAGATATATCGTTGTGGATGATTTTGGATGGTGGAATCGATCACTTTTCTTTTTTTTTCTTTTCTTACTTGCATACCATTTGCACTATTTTTCATACACAGAGAATATGGTCAATGATTTCACATTTTGACTTTTTTTGTTTTCACTTATAGGTCATTCTTCTGATTATCAAAAATGTTTCCAGGCTTTATACAAGGAGCACTTTTAGCTGTTGTTATTATTCTTACTCAAACAACTAAACGTATACATTGTGATGATACATCATCCAATGTTGACGACAGTCATGTTCTTCTATTAACGAAAGATACATTTGATGATGCTTTGAAGAGTAATAAGCATTTATTTGTTAAATTTGTTGCACCATGGTGTGATCATTGCAAAGCATTGTCACCAGCTTATGCCGCTGCTGCTAAACAATTAGTGGATTTCGGTATTAATATTAAATTAGCTAGTGTTGATGGAACTATTGAACACGATTTAGCACAAAAATATGATGTTAAAGTTTATCCGACAATCAAATTCTTTAGTAATAGTACAACATTTGACTATACTGGTGGACGTGCACCAGATGATATTATTAGTTGGTTAAAGAAGAAAACAGGACCAGCAGCTGAGGAATTAAAAACTATTGATGATCTAAAAAAATTGAAAGAAGCTAATGAAGTTGTTGTCATTGGTGCTTTCAAAGATACAGATGGTGATGCTGCTACTTCATTTCTTCAAGTAGCAGAAACAATTGATCGTATTCCATTTGGTATAACATCAAATCAAGATGTTCTTAAAGAACTTGATATTAAACAAGATACAATTGTGCTCTTAAAAAAAGTAAGTAGTTAAAAGCGTTAAAAAAGAAACAAAGAATCTAAATATTTCTTTATATTAGTTCGATGAAGGTCGTAATGATCTTACAGCAACAATTGATGAAGGTTCTATACGTGAATTTATTCAAGCGAATCAACTTCCAATTGTTGTTGATTTTAATGCTGAAGTAAGAGAAAACTATACCTCCAGAACATTTGTCGTCCACGACTATGGAGGAAAAGCACTGAGCAAAAGTATGAGCAAAGTTCTAAGCCCGTATGCTTATGACCTAGATCCACAAATTATTATCCAGCAAAATGTGAATCAGAAAGGATTGGTTGTTATGGAAGGAAAGCTCACAAAACCTTTTACAGATGACCATATAAAATTATCTATCAATTATCAGGATGCCCAGGGAAATTGGGCGACAGGATGGTGTAAAACGCTTTATTCTTACAATCAATATAACGAAAATGTAAGAGCCGCATTCGAGTTACCTGCATCTGCACTGAGCTCTTACAATGTAAAGATCGAATTAAGTTCTGAGACGAGCCTTTCCAAATTTAGCAGTGTTGTTTGGGACAGAACGATCAGTCATTACAAACTAGGTGACTACACCGCTACCAATTGTGATCTGGACGAAAATGAATATACCATCCTTTTAACACCGAAAAAGGATGGCACTTTGATCACAGACGCTAATGGAAAAGTCACAGGAGTAAAAGACAGGGTGACAACCGCCCATTCCTGGAGCAGACTGAACATTGGATATTCATTGGATAATAAAAAGAATGATGTAGTCTTCTCACCTAAAAACCCGGCGGCATTTTTTACTGACGCCAATGGCGCCAAATCCATTAAAATGGTCAATCAGGGAGCTGTTAGTGACACTTTGGGTTCTACCCCTGAATTTATTTACAATGTCGGTCCGGGACATCCAATTCCGTATTTATACAGTTATGCCGATCCTGTGTATATGTTCGCGGGCAAATTTTCAGTAAACGGATTTTTCATAAAATTCAGTCAATGGCCGGGTGAACCAAATGGTCCAGGATATCACAATTTTAAAAATCCTAATAGTCTTCAAAGTAGATATTTCAATTTATACAATACTATAAGCGAAAATTTATCTGATTTTATCGGTGATCAGGAGCCAGTAGTATTTGTATCAAGTATGACTACAGGTTTCAGAGTTTATAAAAGTAATGGAACTTATATAAACCTTACAGGTTATAGCAACTACGGTGCGTTATATTTTGGATATACTAATGATCACGGAGGTGGTCGTAGAGGACCCGGATCTGAAAACTTTATCGTTTCAAGTACTTCTGAAATGACATTATATGGAATGGGTGCATTACGAAATAACTTTGTGAATTTTACTCCGGCATACCTATCTGTCCGATCAATGCAGGATATTGAAAAAGAAATTTCTAAATTCATTAAATATACTGGTATTTTTGGAAACTCTGCAGCATATGATGATACTTCGGAATGTGCTTCCGGATGTTTTGCAGCAAATCCTGGAGCCGTTTCAGATTTAGTAGATTGGACAAAAGCACCGAACAGCTATATTTTCACAGGGAAAGATAAAAACGGCAGCGAAGTTGACGGCCTTTACATTCCTGTAAAAAAAGCCTATGAAATGTGGTCTAAAGGAGGTGAATTCATGAAAAGCGAAAACGGAAATTACACTCCTATTCCATCTGGAACTGCAAAAGCTGGTTTGTATTGGGAGGATGAACCCGGATTGATTAAGTGTATTACTTTAGAAGGAACAGGTGAAAATGCTAAAATTAAAGTCTTAGTTAATAAACTTAAAGAAGGAAATGCCGTAGTATCTTATCGAGTAAATGATAAAGTTTACTGGACTTGGCACGTTTGGGTAACAGATGATCCAACTGCGAATGGTAGTACTTACCGTCTGGGTTTCGAGAAAGATAAAAATGGAAACCCTGTTACAGAGTGGAAATGGATGGACAGAAATCTAGGTGCAACAAGTGCAAACTTCTTAGGTAACAACTGGCATAAATCTCAGGGGTTACAATACCAATGGGGAAGAAAAGACCCATTCCCTGCTCTTACACACAAAGATGGCACACTGTACGAAATTTCTGGAGAAATCGGTAACATTAGACACGTAGGAGCTGTTTATAAAACAGGATCAACTTCTGCATTACCAGTAAAATATAGAGGAAACTTATACCCACAAGACAATACAGGATTTGATACGCCAAATGGAAATATTCGTTATTCTGTTCAAAATCCAATTCATATGATCATTCCACCGCTTTATGTTAAAAAATATAATGAGACGGTGAATAATAATGGAGAAGATATGTTTGTTCAAAACAGTGGCAATACATGGTATCACCAAAGACGTACAACATGGTTCTCTAAGCAGAAATACAGAAACGAATTCAGCACAGATCCTTCAAAAAATGTTGCCTGGGATCTTTGGGGTGACACTCGTGGTGGCAAGATAAGTGACCTAAATAACCCTCAATTAGCTGAAGAAAGTAAGCGCTACGCAATGAAATCTCCTTATGACCCTTGTCCGTGTAACTGGAGAGTACCATCATACTATGATAATATTGGCAGCCATAGCAATGACAATAACGCTTCACCTTGGGGAAGAATTGGAGGCGCGAATGATGTGGACACCTTTACTTCTAACCCTTCAACATCAAGTACAAGATTCCCTGGAATTAAGATATATCCCGGTTTAGGATATGATTTTACAGGCGTTGCAGATCGTAATTTAGGATTAATTCCAATTAATGGAAACTATGAGTATTATCCTAATTATGTTACGATTAAAAGTATAAATACTTCAGGATTAGTAACACCTAAAATGTTCTATCAAGATGGTTCTTCTGATGGTGCATTAGGTTCTTCTACCTTTTCAGTGGGCGCAGCTGGTGGCGGACCTTGGTATGGACCGAGAGGACTTGGTTATGTTTCAGATCCAGGAAATGTTCAAGAAACTGCTAATAATTTTGGATGGTATACTATGAACTCTGTTTCACATGATGGAAACACACACGAAACAGGTGGAATCAGATGTATTAAAGACCCGAATAACGCTTATATGCCAACTGCTTTTGCAACTGAATTTATTAGCAGCCCAAATGAAGAATACGCATTATCTACTCTAATTAGCTGGACAAAAGATCCGAACAGCTATGTAGAATATACTAACAGCTCAGTGACAACAGCAAGTCCGGCAGATAAAGACCGCGTTATTGATATTCCTTTACGTAAGGCGTATGCAATGTATAAATTACATCTAAGTACAACAGAGGAATATCCTCAAGGAAATATTAAATCAGGCTCTGTAGTATGGACTACCAATACAGGTCTGATACAGAATATGGAAATAATCGATGGAACTAAGGAAACGGCTAAACTTAGAGTTACTTTAAATGAAAATCAATACGGTAATGCTGTGGCAGCTTTCCACTTAGGGAACTCCGGTCAGTGGGCAAATGGAAAAATGCAGGATCCTATTATCTGGAGCTGGCATGTCTGGGCTCCTGAAACAATGATTGGTTCATTAGATTACGAAACGGAAACCTCAGAGAATGGAGGTATTATAAATGGTTCTAATACAGCTTTTGTAAATCCTGTGAAAAGTATTGCCGTTCCATTGAAGACTACTTTCATGGATAGAGACTTAGGAGCTTTAATGATGTTCCCGGAAGAAGCTTCTGCAGGTAGTGCATCATATATTTACAGCTTCATCCCTCAAATCAGTAAAAGTGGAGGGTTACATTTCCAATGGGGAAGAAAGGACCCTCTTCCTGTCCTCATCAATGCCGGAGGACATTATGATTTCGGCACAGCAGTAGGAAGCCAGGGAAGTATTTATAAGAATATGACCAGATACACAATCCGTATTCAGAGTGGACCGATAAGTGATGGAATGATTCCTTATTCAGGAATAATTGACAGTACAAGTTATACTACAAATTATGCTAAAGAATTTTCAACCGATTATTCTTCAATATTTTCATCAGCAGATTCTAAAAAAGATAAAATAAAGAAAGTATTGATGTATTCTGTAAATAATCCATTATACTTCTTATATCAGAATCCTTCTAATGAAACCGATCGATTTAAAAAAGTTCGTGACTGGCTATCTGATGAAAACGGGCAGTTTACAGACAGATGGGGACACGGTACAGAAAAATCACCTTTCGATCCATGTCCTGAAGGATGGAGAGTTCCTGATACTTTCAGTTCCAGTATGCATTCTACGTTACCTCTGCTAAACAATTTCTATTCTCACTGGTCATTTTCTCATGGAAGCAATCCTTGGTATTATAATGGTTATCAGGCTTCAGGTACAGGACAATACGGATTAGCACCTTCAAGTGTATATCAGGCTAAAAGAGATGCTTATTCACCTGCAAACAAATTCTATCCGGGAAGCAGATCTGCGATTTCCAATTACCCTGCTACCAGATTTGGATTTGTGTTCAATAACAACAGATATAAAATTGGTAACTATGCCAACAATGGAATCAGAGGCTTCGAAGGAGGAAAAGATCTTACTTTGGTCACAATTGACGGTACAAGCAGATTAAGATTTAGCATGTCCGGAGTATGGACTGCATCGCCTACCGATGTTTATTCTGGAACAGCGATAGGATTACATTTCAACATAGAATCGTCAGCTGAGTTTAATATGCAGACCGGATATCCGTATTATCCTCAGGCAGCAATGTCTTGCCGTTGTGCAAAAATCAAGTATGATGGAAATGGAAATGAAATAGGAAGATACGAACCAACAGCTATTGAAGTTCCAAAAAATGCAACTACAAAAGCATCAAATGTTCTTCCCAGCTAGAAACAAAAATGGTAAACTGGTATTAAAATGGTCTAAGATGCAACAATTAAAATGATGAAAAACTGTCACAAAAAATCCTAAATAATCCATTTTCATTTTCCGTTTTAATGCTTATCTTTAAAAGAGCGGAAAAGCTCAGAGAAGTGACAAAATACAAGTTGTAGAGGGAATTATTCTTTATTATTATTGAAGGTTTTTTCAATACCGGACTTTTAGTAATTTGTAGATATCGAAAGAGCTCATCTTGAGGGTGTGTGTGAGTATAGGGTAGAAATAGTGAAGAGTTTGTAAAAGATTTAGTAAATGTTTTATTTGAACACGAAAAAATAGTATTAATTATAAGATGTATCCACAGAGATATGTCCAAATAAGTACGAGAAACTTATTCAATAAGATCATACAATCAGAGCACGACTCGAACCTACTGTGACAATGAAACGATCGTCTCTTAGTTTGTCAATCATAGTGATCTGTCATTCCGAATGGATGACAGTGATTTCGAATGTATACAGTTTCAATAACTGTCAAGGATAACAGACTAGTATATCTTTCTATCAAGATGTAACTTTTCTTTCCTGTTCTCTTGTTATTCACTGATCGTATAAATATCCGTGTGTTATGCATGAATCTTTAGCATTTGGAGTAAAGCACAATCGAATAAACATCACGACGAAAAGAAATCGAACATCAATGTGCTTCTCCTCTTGCTCTAACGAAATAATGATAAAAAATATTTCGTTACAGAGTAGACTTTAAGAATATTAACGTGAATTGGTGCGCAGTGCAGCAGAATTTTGATGATTTTTCACTGATAGGCATCTATTCGCTCCCTGAATCCTTTCAGATCTTTATGGCTGTTTGATTTAGGCAGATTGCCACTGTATGAGCTTTTCGTGTTTTCGTTTCACGTGGTGTTCCTGAATATATCATCGTGTAGTCGCTTACTGTACAACCTTGAAGACGAATTTACGTTTAAATTATATTGTGAAGATCTAAGGTTACAGAATTTTCAATGAGGTATTAGCAAGAAAATAGTTTTCCATTTAAAAACAAAACTATAAATATTCCACCCGCCTTCGTTCGCTTTCTTATTGAAGTCACAACTAATATTAATTCGCAGAAATGTTTTCATCTGTTGCATTCTTTGGATTCGTAATCATCCTTGGACACGTTATTTTCATTAATGCTCAACAACATTATGAATCGGAGACTATAGTGAGAAATTCTAAAAAAAGACCCAACGGTTTTACAAACGGGTGGCAATACATTGGCAGAAGCAACGGCAAAAGAATTGAATGCATATTTTGGTAAAAATTTGGCAGCTCGAGACTGGGGGCGAAAATTAGAGAACTTAAAAAAGACTTGGTTGCTTCCAAATAACCAGCACGGAAAAATATGGTCAGATGGTGATTATTCTGACGTGAATAACGAAGTGCATGACAATTTGAATAACTACTGAACATGTATCGATCGCCTTTGAATTACAACAAGACACAACACATTCATGTAGAGCTGAAATTGTCATGCTAACGTTTTAAAGTTTTTAATAAAGTGAAGGGAAATAGAACTCCACTTAACTATTATGTCTATTTTCAAAAGCAGGAACGCTCTAAAGAATGAACATATTTCGTACACTTGCTATTTCATCGTTGGGATACCAATCTTAAGTCATTGCCGACAAAAATATTTCAGAAACAGCTGATTTCAGTGTCTATGCCGGCAAAGAGTAGGTCCCAACAAAAAATAAAAGATGAATCCGCTGTTAATCAGAAATGTAACAGTTCACTTTTTTGTTCCGAATTCAGTTAGTGGACTAATGACATGAACACATTACGATGAAAAAGCCCAACTTAAAGCATGAGTCACAATCCCATCGAATTTGCATGCATTTTGATTCCTTGGCTGTATCACTGAAAAAGCTTTCAGCACAATCCCTCCGGGATCAAAATCCGAAATACGAAGCCATCGCTTGAAGTTTGCTCTTTCAAACTTTGGTATCGGTCGTTTTTGTGCATAATTCCTTCCTCTAGCCCGCCGAGGTGTTTGCTGGAGTGTACTCATCATGTGCTCCAGTCTTTCACGGTTCTAGGTAGGATGGAGGGCTGGAAGTTTCTAACTGTAGATTATCACAGACATGACAGACATTCCTAAGAGCCACTGCACGAGAGCCGCGACCGAGCTTGCGCAATCACAATTTCAAATCTACTCCAAATCTATCTCATCTTGTAGCCCATCTTGTTTTAGGTAGGTAGCCCAATTTTTACCCTTCTAAGTGCTAGTTTGGCCGAATGACGAGCCCTGCACGAACAACCCCGGACGCCGACCAAAAACACGACTTTTGGAGAAAATGCTCGATTTCTCCGCGATCGCTCCTCCGATCTGCCCGAAAATTCTACCATGAATACATTTTCACATGCCCAATGTGACTGCGCAGTCAAAAGGCTCCCATTTCACAAAATTGATTTTTCGAGTATTTCAGACTTGTCTTATAGGCTATTTTTTGGGTGTGGGTGTGGGTGTGGGTGTGGGTGTGGGGTGTGGGTGTGGGTGTGGGTGTGGGTGTGGGTGTGGGTTGGGTG